TTTGTGGAGAAATGCAGTAGGCAGCTCAGAGCCTTAAAGATTAGAGCTTTAGCAAACCTGGGGGGCAGTTCTAGTCTGCCTGTCACATCATTTTGAGTTAGCATCTATGGGCTGGTAGTACAGTGTGGGGTCATCTGTTAAAAATGCATGCTACACAGAGAGCAACCAAAGTTTTGTTGGTTGATAATTCAGAAACTGACTTTGGCTTAGTTAGTATGTACCTTCACATTTTGATTTTAGATGAAAATCACACTAGCAAGGTATGCAAAAAACCATCTGATAAATTTAAGGTGGAATATATATGTGGAGAGTATGAAGAAAGTCTGGAAGAATAGACCTGGTTTCTAATATAATTTTTAGAAAATGAGATTTGGAAAATCTATTTTTTCTGCACACTCTAAATCTTTTTTCCTTCAAAAACATATATTTGTATTAAGAAATTTAGGTAAAGTGTGAGAAATTATTTTTTCAAAAGAAAAAGAGTTTATGATCATTTTGATAATTTAAATGACTGAAACCTGGTAACTTAAAGCCATTTAGGACATGTGTATTAGAGTTGAATGTTTAGGAAATGTTTAGCAATGTTGGGTTAAATATTTTAATCATTCTTATAAAATTCAAATAGGTAAGCAGCTGAGTACTGGCCACAAGGTGGATGGTTTGGAGCACCACCAGAGGCATCTTCGAAGACAGACCCAGTGCTCAGCTGTGGGAAGGGCACAGCCTTGAACCCCAGAGAGCAGTTCTGTTCTGCATCGCAGGCTCTCCATGAGCAGAAATCAACTGGGTGGCAGCTAAAAATTAATAACAACAAGCACAGTCACTATTAAAATCTACTAACTACATCTGTGTTAAAATATTTGGGACATGTGGATTACATAAACATTTAGATAAATAATAGATGATACTAGGTTAAACAATTATTTCAGGATATAAATGTAGGAAGTGCAGCTAGAGTTCCTCAATACTCTCAAAAAGCCAGACAGCAAACATTCAATCTACAATTCATGTTGTGCTCCTTTTACATCGACCTGTGACACTGACGATAAGAAAGCCTCGATGTAACAAAAAGATTGCCATCAATTTTCTAATCTCAAGCTACCTTTGTATCTTTTCAAAACTTCGTTTGTTCCTCCTTCCTCCCCACCAGCTGTATTATTTTCTTTCTCTAGTCCTTGGCTCTGTTAGCATTCGCGCTGTCTCTCACCTAAGGCAACTTATCAAATGACTGTCCTGCAGGGACAGTGACTTAGTTAATGTAGCTCTTCTCGTCAAAGTCTCTGTAACTCGCACCAAATGACGTTTGGGAGCACGGGCCTGGATAAGAGGGTGACAGGATATGTGGCGACTGCCATGCTGCTGGATATAAAAAGAGCTCTCTGAGGAACCGGAGAGGAGAGCTCACGACCAGCCGAAGCCAGCGTGGAGTGCATCCTCTGACCCCAAGGCCCCTGTGCAGTAACGCTCATGAGTCTAGAAGACAGTTGGGCTATCAGTGGAGCAGCAGCAGCACCTGGAGCCAGTAGAAGAGTCGTTGTCGCAGACTTCTCAGCCCGCAAAACCAGCAAAGCTAAGTGCTTAATGCAGCAGCCTGGCATGTGGAGTGGAGATCCTTTGGGCACGTAATTCAGGGAACTGGGTTTGCTGACCCACTGAGCTTGAGCTAAGCCTTTGGGTTGGTACTCACAGCAGAGCAGCACGTTCTTTGGACATTTATGAGCCGTCCTATTTGGAACACTGCATCCTGAGCATTTTTTCACCTGCATTTACAACCTGTTAACTTCCTTAAGGAACCTGTTACTCATGACTAGTATCTGGGAGATCTTTGTGCCCATGAGGAAGGATTATTGAACTCAGTAGCTGGAAACACAGGGTCATCCGATTCATAACAGTAGCAAAATTACAGTTATGAAGTAGAAACAAAAATAATTCTATGGTTTGGGGGTCACCACAACATGAGGAACTGTATTAAAGGGTCGCGGCATTAGGAAGGTTGAGAATCACTGATATATAGCATTGTGAGTGACACAACACATCCTTTCTCCCTGTCATCCATATTTGCATTCTGTCCAAAATATCAATTGGGGAAAAAGAAAACCAGCAGTGTGAAATCTTAAATATTTAAGTTCTTATGCTACAAATGTAGACATGATAATATCTGCTGTGGTGCGCTGTACAAGGAGTTTACCCCCTTCGTAGGGACCTCATTAAACACAGTAGAACTGGCCGCTAGGATTTGCTAGGCTGCACTTTTTAAGGAAAGGCCATCTGGTGCCACAAAGTTAAGGGCTCAGCGGCAACTGAGAGGTCCGAGATAGGTACCTACTAGCCACTGTGGGAGACAGGTGGTGGCCATCTGCTTCTGTAAAGATCATAGTGTAGGAAACCTTGGTGCCAGTTCCACACTACCTTGAGAGTCACAAGGAACTCAGCAACAATGGGTTTGGTTTTCACCTTGTTTTTTTATCATTTTATTGAGGGCTCATACAACTCATCACAATCCATCCAGCCATGCATTGTGTCAAGCACATTTGTACATTTGTTGCCATCATCATTCTCAAAACATTTGCTTTCTATTTGAGCCCTTGGTATCAGCTCCTCATTTCCCCCCTCCCTCACGAACCCTTGATAATTAAGAAATTATTTTGTCATGTCTTACACTGTCTGACGTCTCCCTTCACCCACTTTCCTGTTGTCCATCCCCCTAAGAGGGGGTTATATGTAGATCCTTGTGATCAGTTTTAATCTTTCAGAGAACAGATCAAGTCTTTTCTCCCAGGAAGTGGCTGGTGGGTTAAAACCTCTGACCTTACAGTTAACAACTGATAAACCATTGCTTCCTAGCGGCATCTAAACCCCAAACAAGCTCACTTCCATTCAGTCGATTCTGACTCAGAGGGCTCGCGGAGTATTTCCAAGTTTGTGGAATTTCACAGGCACAGTTAGCTGTAGCTCTTTCCCTGGGAGCGATTGGTGGTTTTGAACCTCCTCCCTTGCAGTGAGCAGTCAGATGCTAATTGGACAGTACCCCTGGGGCACCTGTTAATGGCATTTAAAAACCCAAAACTCACTGTCACTGAGTCAATTATAACTCATAATGACCCCACAGGACATCATAGCACTGACTCTTTGGGTTTCTGAAGCTGTATATCTTTATGGGAGAAGGAACCTCTATCTTTCTCCCGCAGAGAGATTTGTGGGTTCAAACTGCTGACCTTAAAACTAGCAGTCTGGCATGTGAGCTACAAGAGTCATTTTGGAACACAAGTGGCCTTCTGTCTGTAAGGCACTGACCTTCTGTTTCAAACGTTTAGCATAAGAGCTATTGTACATGTATGAATCATGGCTTCCAGAACATAGTATTGCGCCCTATAGGGTGGCCATGAAAGGAGGCAAAGTCATACAATATTAACAATGAATTTACATGTATGTTTATCCCAAATTATTTAAACCTAAAAGAAAACAAACCATATGGTGCACTGGGTTACACACTGGACTGCTAACTACAAGGTCCCCAGTGAGTCCCAGGGAGAAAGACGAGGCCTTCTATTCCTGTAAAGCTTAACAGCCTTGTGAGCCCACACGGGCAGTTCTGCTCTGTCTACAGCACAGGCTCACGTCACTGAACTGTACATGCTGGTGCCAGTGTGCTTAGTCTCTGTGGGAGATAGGGCTTAATGATTATGACTTATGCTTTCAGGAATTTTGCAGCAGGTACAGATTCATAGACACCTGGGATCTTCTAGTCTATTGAATTCTCCTCTGATACAAAAAAAAAAAATTGGTTTAATTTTCAGTCACTTTTACTTGGGGTAAAATTAATTGCGAATTAGTGGACTTCAGTCAGATAATATAAAGTGTAAAGTCTAAATCACAATGATGTCTTTATTGCAAAGTCTTGATTTTCTGTATTTATCAAAAAATACTACTATTTTAAAACAGAGTTGTTTAGGAGGCTTATTAACTTTCCTTTATCAGTGCATTTTGTTAATTTGCATACCAAAATGTATTTATTAGATTTTGTGTTATATAATATTTTCTAAAGTAAAAGGAGTTTATTTAGCTTCTTTCATGGATTACTTGAGGTATGTAAATGTTCATTTATGATTTTCTTAGCGAAATCTACTTTGAAAATCTATATTTATAGACTATAAGGTACTAGCTCAGTGTTCTCCAGATTACATCCATTATAGATATTTTAATCTTTCCTTTCTTCTTCTGCAATAGAATGTCTGAATTCTGAGTTAATAGAATGGATATGTGAGGAAGATTATACAGAGAAAAATCAATTACTATATTATTCAGGGTATAGTTTTAACAAAAAATCACTGTATGATAAATAATATATTCAATATAGTTCCATATGAATTATTAACACAAAGATTTCTGGACTTCTTATTCATATTCTAAAGACTATAACCTGCAAGAATTTAAATTTATCTAACACTATGTAGATATAATGCTATAGACTTTTTTGTCCACTTCATATAGCAACATACCCTAACTTTGGAGTAAGCCTCATCAGGAAATAATTTCAGGTTTTATTCTCCTTTGGTTACAAACTAATGGCAAAATTTTAATAATATGATATCTTATGCCCTGAGGATTCAATAGAAAATAATGACTGTAGTAAACAACTGAGGAATGAGGGCAGATGTCTTTTAAAAGCAGACAGGGAGAAACACAAAACTCTCTCCTTCTACCATATTTCTAGAAATATTTAATATCCTAACATGTAATCTGCTTTCATGAATATAATTTTAACTTCCCAGTCTGGTTTGATAGGTTTATTGAGAAGACAGCAGACATTTCAAGGAATTCCCAAATATCCCAGGAGGACGGCGATTGTTTTCATCTTCATAATCCTTACCGGAATTTTACCACTATTTTAAAATTAAGGCCTTATATTTTGGCTTAACCAAAGTTTGAAATTATGTATATGATATATATATATATATAAAACATTTTGTATATACAGAAAAGGCATATACTTTACTCACAGGCGAACTGAAGGATGGCTTCCCTACTCAGAATACTTCCAAAAGTGTTGGCTGCTAAACACTGATAATGACCAGAATCCTTCGCTTCATTTGGATTGCTGATAATGAAGGTGCCGTCTATCAAACTGTAGCGATAATCACTTTCTAAGTCTACTTCTGTTCCATTTCGAAGCCATCTTAGGAAAAATCAGAAGACAAGTATGTAAAAATTACTTGAGGCATTATAATACTCCCTGAGTGCATCAGGATCTTATCCTAGGGACTTTTTTAAGGAGTAAGAACAGTGATTAATAATGAATTTCTACCTGTAATTGGGAGCTGGATTGCCACGAACTTCACAGTTAAGTGCAACTTTCTTTTCATCAGAATCAGTTGGGAAAATGATATCGTCTGGTTCTTGTACAAACACTGGCCCGTAGTCCACACTTTCTGCAAGGACAAAAAGCACACATGTTAAAGTTCCTCAAAATATTAAGACATGTTTCCACTATATTCAAAATTATGGTTCTGTCCTTGTAATTAATAGATTAATTACTAAAAGAAACTTATAGCTAATAAATTATATTTTTTTGGTAAATTATACAGACCTAAATATTTTTTAAAAGAACAACTCTCCTCTCTCTCTCTCTCTCTATATATATATATATATATACCTTTGTTTTTATCCTCTGAAAGAAATCTAAATTGACTTATATTACAAACAAATATATTTTAAGAACCTCAAAGTATTTAAACCTCTTAGAATATTAAAAACACACAATTAAAATGTTATGAATTAATAATATAACTACTTGGGAACAATAGATATTAAAATATGGGTGATTATTCATTTCTTCATATTTTCCTTTCTTCACTCATTCAATCAAGCACTGTTTACTTGATGCTAATTAGCTGAAGCATAGGAAAAAAATAAGACAATGCTAATAAATATCAGAATAAGTCATAAAGTATTGATAACACATCATAGAAAGCTTTATTTAAATATATATATATATATGCATATCAAATGGACAGCTATTGTTTTTTTAGACTTCTGAAAGTGGTGTGTTCATGCTTCTAGCCCAAAAATAAACTCACTTATATCAAGTTGAAACCAACATAGCAAACCTACAGGGCAAAACTCTTTCCAGGAATAGAAAGCAAACTAAGTCTGTGCACGTACATTTATGCCATGACAATATGGCTGTGGTGCTACCCTTGAGAGGTTCAAAGTGTGTTCCTTTTAAAAGTCCTGAAGTCAACAGAAAAGTGTGTGAGGGGAAACATCAGACAGTGTAAGGCGTGACAAAATAATAACAATTTATAATTAATGAGGGTTTATGGAGGTGGGGGAGTGGAAAAAAATGAAGAGTTGATACCAAGGGCTCAAGCAGAAAGCAAATGTTTTGAGAATAATGATGCCAACAAATGTACAAGTGTGCCTGACACAATGGATGGGTATATGTTTTGTGTAAGAGTTGTACGAGCCCCCAATAAAATGATTTTAAAAAATAAAAAATAAAAGTCTTTTAGTATGGGGAACATAAAGGACTTCAAGGGGGCAAGACCAGCGCTGTAGGGTGAATTGGGTGAGGTTTTCTAGGTAATGATCATAGGATAATCATTGCTATCTCGGTTGAATGAGGATGTCAATTGTCACCATGTGAAAAAAACACCAAAAATCCTCAACTTTCCAGTCCTCATTCTCAGTGATGCAGTTTCAACACCCGAAATCCTTGCCATGAGAGTCCTCGGAGAAAACACCTCACGACTATATTTTTGAGATCCCCAAATACCTTCTGAGCTGAACTATCTGCCTTGAATTTAACTGGCTATGAAGATCTCCCGAGAAGCCAATGCTTTAATCAAATAATCTTTTGCTAAAGCACCCTAATGAGATTAGGACACATATATATACTAAGAGAGCTAGTCTACAGCCCTGCAATTGCAACCTATTCAGATATATTTTTGATTGGATAAAACCCTTGCATGCATGAACTAAAACCCTAGTTGCAATACCGTTTTACTTATTCTTATATAATAAAACATTTCCATCAAATGCTTGTAATTCCCCTGGAAGAGAGAAAGCATGTTCTTAAAGTGTCAAAAAAAAAAGGTAAACTTGAGTGTTCATCAGTAAGTAAATATAGAATAGATCAGAAGAGAATGGTTTAAATAGGTGAAGCACCTAAACTTACTGCGTCCTTGTGATATTCTCAATAACAGATTTAATCTAATTTAATTACTTAATGCTCCTTTGATAAAGGAAATTTGAAATTACAAAAAAGATGGATTTCTTTTTTTTTCTTACTTATTTTTATTGACCTATAAAGTGGGTATGTATGGATATACATACACATACACATATACATGTACATAGGGTTCCCAGTGGCGCTGTCAGATCAGTGCTAGGCTGCTAGCTGCAGGGTTGGTGGCTCAAACCCACCGGTCTCTGTGGGAGCAAAGCGGAGCATCTGTTTCTGTACAGATTTACAGTCACAGGAGCCCCGTGCAGAGAGAGTCACTCTCAGTCACAACAGACGCAACGGCAGTGAGTGTATATGTACAATACATACCACATATAATATGTATACAAAATATGCATATATGTGTTTCTATGTGTAATATGTACAAACACACATATACACATATATATTTAAATAAAGAACTCATGTATGTACTATGTCACTATCATATATGGCTTTTCTTTTTAAAGTGAAAAATACCTTGGCTGGGCATTAAATTTGGGGTACCTTGTTATTCCACTAATAACTGTAGACATTCTTCTACTCCCTAATTGCAATAATATATACTGTGATGAAATTCACATCCAGTCCTACTTAATTCACTTTTAAGCAATTACATTTTCTGTGTGAATGCCCCAAAGGCAGTTTCTTTCATTTGAGTCTCATTTTTATTATTGGGTGTGTTGTCTTGGTGTGATTTAAACTATAAAAATTTTTCTGGGATAAGTATGCCATTTTAATTTTCTTGTTCAAGACTTGCTTTTTCACGGAGATTTCACCTTCATTTGTTCTCTCAATACATGTAGGCTGATATCGCCTTATTTTTAATGTCTCCTCAGTCATTTCTGTTATTGGTGCCCGCCATTTAGTTCATGTCAATCAATAGTGACTTTACAGGGCAGAGTAGAAGCTCGCTGTAGGGTTATAAGTTTGTGATCCTAGTGGAGTACTCATTAGGTGCTCACCTATGACCCAAAAAGTCAGAGATTAATCCGCCTTCTGGAGGATTTGTAGCCTTGGCAAACCGCTGGGGCAGTTTCCCCTTTACAGACGTCCACTGTCCATCATGGAGTCACTAGTGGCTTTGAACTGCTGCTGACCTTCTCGGTGGTAGCGAGGCGCTTCACTACTGTGCTGTCAGGACTCCTCCCATCATCTCTGGGGCAACTTTTATATCTTTGCTTCCTGTCTGTTTGTGCTCTTAAAGTCTAATCGGTATTCCTGTCTTTCCAAATGAAACTAGTAATGAAGGTTTCATCTCCTTAATCTTTTTCTTTTTCATGTTATTTCTTATTTAAGCTGTAACACTTCATTTCCTATTACATTTTGTACAACTTTGATTTTATGTATGGCTTCTTATCTTTTTATACAACTTAATTCCACAAATTGTTTCTGGTAAGCTATTCAAAGCAATTTTATTATTTATTGCCTGAGGTGAAGAAGAAACCGTATTTTCCTGGATTATTTCTATTAAGGAGCTTTTTTGTGGTTTACAGGGAATTTTCTTAAGTTCGGGTTGTTTTATTATTCAAAGGGTTCCTGGAGGTGCAGAGGTTTACACACTAGAGTGCTAACCAAGAGGTTGGCAGTTCAAACCCATCAGCTGTTCTGTAGGAGAAAGGACAGGTTCTCTGCTCTAGTAAAGATCGATGGTCTCAGAAGCTCTATACAGACCTGATCTGCATTAGAATTGACTTGATGGATTTGGATTTTTGCTTTTTTCAGACAATCTCTAATTGTCCCCTCAATCAAATGTTTGGCTTGTAAACAAAATAAATATGATTTCAGTGCTTCCTTTAAATATTCTGAAATCTCTTTGGAGTCATTTTTCTAATTGTTCTTGGATTTCTTCCAATATCAGTGGTTTTTCTTTCCACTTGTCAAAAAATAATTGGATAAGTGTTTCTTCTCAGACTGAAATATCTACTTGTAAGGATATTGAACCCTGGTCTGAAGTCTAATAACAGTCATTTGTTGGATAGATCTCTCCTTTTGGTCATGTATAAAAGTTTTTCTTGCATTAATAAAGGTAAAATCATATGTACGCTCTTCATTCTTCTTTTTGTTTTGCATGCTTTAATTATATTTCAAAAGCATAGCACTCAAACACTCTACACATGAGGCCATTCATTTAACAACCAACTAGAAAGTGGTGTGAGTGAGAAATAAACGTGGACTGTACTAAAGGATTTGGTTACAGCATCCAGAATTTCTTATCCTAATGTTACATTCCAAAAAAAAGTCATTTTCAAACTTAAGAAGTTATAATTTCACTAGGACGCATTCTCACTGAACTATCATTTCATAATTAGATTTTGACTAGCAAAGTATTGAAAACGAGACAACATATAGTCAGACCCTGGATTATGAACATGATTTTTTCCTCTGTCTGATGTTAACTCAAATTTACATGTAGCTCAAAACAGGTACAGACCATTTTTAATTTAGTTCCAGTTAAACAAATGTTTGTCTTAGTATACAAAGGCTGTTCCCAAAACTTTGTGAAATAAAATTCCATTTTCTTTTAATTCTATTGAACACAAACTTTTTGAAGCCTCTGTTTAGTATTTATTTTAAATTCTATGCATTTCAAACCCTTAAGAAATATTTCAAATACACTAAAACAAACATGTTAAACATAATAAAATAAAGTATTAATCAAAGTAACTGTGCATATTCTGCATTGAAGAAAGAGAACAAACTTCTATGTGTGTGTAAATATTTAGGTAAACCCCCAAACCAACCTCAACTCACTGCCATCGAGTCAGTTCGACTCGTAGTGATCTGATGAGACAGAGAACCGCCTCTGTGGATTTCCGTGTCTGTAAGAACTTAAGGGAACAGGATGCCTAGCTTTCTTCCAAGTGACTTGTGGTTTGGAACAGCTGACATTGTGGTCAGCAGCCCCCTATGTCACTATGAAGACAGCAGCAACATTAAAGGAATAGTTTCTAAAACAGTTTAGAAAGAAAAATATATATTATGAAAGGCCACCGCTCTCATTGCATCAATGCTTTGCATCCTGAAAGGTCCATTCAGGAGGTAACCTGACAGCATTCATAAGTGGGTGATGCAGAAGATGATGAATAGAAAGGAGATGGCTATTGTTGAGAACAACACACCGGGTGTTGATCAAGATGGATCTGGTGCTAAAGAGTGAGATTTCATTGTGCGGCTGGAGGGGTGGTGGGCGTTTACTGCTGG